ATACTCAATGTCTTTCCTTTTGGGGTGTAGCCATTTTGGAACTTTCTAAAAGATTGTTCCAAGGCCAGTTGTTTTGTCCCAGTTTCAAAACAAAACCTTTTTTTCCCCATGCACACCATTGACATTAAACTATTCTGAATTTCCAATTTTGTAAAATAAAATAATAGAATTAATTTCCTCTAAATACACCACTGCCTATTTTATATTGTAATTTACTGGTTGAATTGGATGTAACTTGTTATGTATAGAGATGCTGAATATTGCTTTTTCTTGTTTCCCCCCATTGTTTTATTGCATTATAAAATGCAAACAATACATTATAAAATGCAGGTATTAGCTAGGTACAGTGGTATTTAGCAATATAAACTAAAAATTGTTTGCACTGTAATGGTTTAGATAAGTTAAATCTTTAAGTAAGGGGAACAAGTTTATCTCAATGTTAAGTATAATTTCTGAAATGTTAATAAAGGTTACTTGAATTGTACAATGGAAGCTAAGTATGGCATCGGTAGACAATTGCAAATGCATTAAATTATTTTATAATATAAAAAAAGATGTTTTTCTATCTTAGGGTTTAATGCTTAATAAAATGGTCTCCACTGTATTGTTATTTATTATTTATGTTATAAATATTTAAAAGAAAAAAGAAAAACAAAACAAAGAGAAAAAAGAAAAAAAGAAGCTGTCTGGAAAAAGTAGGTAAGTACATTTGATTTCTAACTTCATCTTAATTAGTTTCGTTTTTATAATATTGCCATAGAATCATAAAGTTGATTCTACCCTCTATTTAAACACACCAAATGAAGGGCAGCCCACCACCTCCTGTCTAACAGGTTCCATTATTGAACTGCTCTTTTTCTGATGAACTTTTTCCTTAACATTCACATGGAATCTACTTCCTGTAATTTAAATCCATTACTGCATGTCCTGTGCTCTGATAAGAAAGAACAGATCTTGGGTTGGTTCTATGGGACACCACTTCAAGTATCTGAAAAGAGCAATCATATCTCCCTTTCATGCATGTTTCCTAAAGGCTATCCTGATTCTTCAATCTTTCTTCACAGCTCTTAGTTTCACATCCCTTATCATCCTTACTGCTGTTCTCTGAACCTGTTCCAATTTCTTTGAATCTTTTTTTAAAGTGTATTGCCTGGACACAGTATTCAAGGTAGCCTCTGACCGAAGTAGAATAGAGTGGAATAATTACTTCCCCTAATTTGGAATCTATACTTCTGTTGAGGCAACCCCAAACTGTATTTGCCTTCTTTGCAGCTACATCATTCTGCTGGCTCATGTTCAGTTTGCAAATAATCACTATTATAAGATCTTTTTCACAAGGCAGGGATCTCCCATGCTATACCTGTTTTGTTGCTTCTTCAGTGAAGAACTTTGACTTATCTCTGATAAGTTTCATTACATTAATTTCAGCCTATTCTCCAAAGTATCATTATTGTTTTGCCTTTTAATTCTGTTTCTGGGGTATTAGCTATTCCACTCAATGTTCTTTAGTCTGAAAATTTAATAGGAATTCTCTTGACCTTTTCATTCACTGATATGAGTCCATATGATATCTCCCTCCAATTTGATGAGCACTCTCTGAGTACAGTTTTCAAGTTGGCTATGTATTCAATTAATGGCCATGCTATCTAGCCCACAGTTAACTACTTTGCTAAGTAACATGTCATGGGGTATTTTGTTTAATGCTTTGTTGGCCAAGATGTACAATGCTTACAACATTCCCAATTATGGAAGCTACCCAATCAAAACTGAGATGAGATCAGTCTTGCATGATTTGTTTTTGACAAACCCTTGCTGACATTGTTCTCCAGGTCCTTACTTATCAATCCCTTTATAAAATCCTCTGGAATCTTCACAGGTATCAATGTCAGATTGGCCTATAGTCTGATAAATCTTCCTCCCCGCCCCTTTCTTTTTTGAAGATAGGGCCAAATGTAGTGCTACTGGTTTTATCAGAAGATTGGTAAGGAAAAATTGAATAGTAGTGTGTGTCTCTTTCCCTCAGTTGTATGGTACAACAGAACTTTGTACTTCCATGTAGTGATTGAGTACATAGTATAGAATGAAGCGTTTATTTTAGTCACTAAAGAGTCATACTCAGGTTATACTTTGTTCTGCTTTGTCCTTGGTGAGGCACTGTGAAGGGCAGGATGATGTATAAGCTTGTCAAAATTCCCATGGGTGAAACTCTGATGCAGACCTAAGTGGGAAGACGCTGCATGCTTGCTCTCTTTAAGGGGCTCATCTACCACCACCACCACCACCACCATCATCTCTCTGAGGTTCCTTGACTAGCAAAAGGGGCATAAAGTCATTCTTTATCTTGCTGTATTCAGTATTCATGAATATTCTTTGATTGCTGTCTTGGGTTATCTTATATTCTTCAGTATTTTTGAATAGTCATTGATTACTATCTCACATTACGTTACTGTGGTATGTTCTAATACTGCCTTGCAATAAAGTCTTAAGTATTTATACTGTGTGGTCATTGCTTCTGTAAGAACCTGTGACCCAACTGGGCTGGGCTGGGGCAGAGCAGCACATAAACATTTGCTCTTATCCAGTCCTCTGGCACTTCACTTGTTCTCAGGATTTCTAAAAATAATATATAAGGATTTAGCTCCTTTGGCACCCAGAATGCAATTTATCCAGTCTTGGAGATTTAAACTCATTAAGGTGGCATTCTCTGACTATGATTCTATCAATTTCAAATGTCCATTATGCCCCTTCAACTGACTCTCATATTTTCTTGTAGGAATATGTATTTTTGTGTTGGAGAAGACTGAAACAAAATTGGAGTAGCTTTGAATTTCCTTGGTTACCTGTTCACATTTTGCATTCTTCATTGAACAGCAGGCATATTGATTCTTTTCTTTTCCTTTATTGTAAGCATTTAATACAGTGCTTTTTGTTATTTTGTGGATCCTCTTTTAACTTCAGCTGCTTCTGAAGTTTGGTCTTCTTGACATCATCTATACAATTGCAGGCAACCTGTCTGTAACTTCCTCTGTGATCTGGCCCTCTTTCCATTTTCTGCATGAATTCTTTTTTGTTTTCAGGTATTCACTTTTTTGGGTAGTATCATTGGATTTTTTTTCTTTTTTTTCTGGCTGTCCTCCTCATTGGAATTCTTTGCAGATAATACTTCCTTCTACAGTTCCTCCTACCCTCTTGAGTTGTTCCTATTTCCTTCCACTTTGTTGTTCCCACTCACTTTGCTTAATCAATATGAACTGAACTGCTTGGAAAGGACTGATATATTTAGGATCCCTTACTGAATAATTTCAACTTTGTGCCTGGCTCATAATTAATAAATAATATTCCTACTCCCAAAGCAATTTAAACCCAAGAATACATGCGATTTTATTACATTATTTGCTGAGAGAAAGGCTAGCTGTTTGCTTGATTTGTTTTCAACATAGAACTTCATTAAATACTAGCTCAAAAGAAGTATAAGGCCACTGAGACTCACTTATACCTGATAATGGAGTGTGGCAGTTTATATAATACTCACAGCATAATCCCCATACCTATTCAGAAATAAATCATAAGGAATTCAATAGGACTTATTTTCAAGTATAGGATTATAATTAGGCGCCAAAAGCACTTGTATACTGCTCTTGTACCTCACACTGATCAAATTTTACAACCTGCTTGGAAAATAGCAATGTTCTTTTTTTCCCTCCAATAATTTCATTTTACTACTCTGAAATCTAACCTCCTTTGTTCATGTCATCTGTTGTCTTTCAAGATACTAATTTTTCTGACTGATACTATCATTTTATCTATACTGAAATGAATGTAAATGAATGTTTTTTTTTTACTTCCAATACTGTCTATTTTGGGAGGAAAAAAGCCCTAAAGTGAAGGATGATTAAATGTTTTATACTAGAGTATAATATACTGTACTAATTATGTTTTTGATAAATATACTTTTTTTTTGTCTACCACTGCTTCTACAAAACAAAGTTCTGTGATGTTATTGAAGAGCCTGGTGAGTACTGTCTCCATCGATGAAAAGATTAATTTGCCATTCTTTGCAAATGCAGTTACTGATCCAGGGTCTGACATTCAAAAACAATCAGATTAATTAATTGGTCACATTTTTGGAAATTATTCTCTGTGTGAGACTGGCCAGTGGGCCCAACACAAATAACTGCCTGTGAAAACTAGGTAGAAAATGCTAACTGTATGTGTTTGGGCTTGATTATGTTTATGCAGCCAGTAAATCTCTTCCCTCCAATTAAGCATAGTCATATGGCATTCAAGCAGTTCTGTAAACCTCAGATTTTAGTAGTTTGAGAAATGTTGTTCAGTAAAATTGTTTACAGGTCTAAAACACAGGAACCCTATAATATAGTGTTATTTCTAATATTACCCTGTTGTTTGACTATTGGCCTTTCATCCTTTTCTTCTTCTTTTCAATTTCTTTCTGTGTTTTGTTTGGGAACGAAATTATATGATCATTTTATAAATTCCAAAACAAATTATATGTGAAATGGAACTGTCTTTTGAAAAGTTGGACCTGATTCCTGGTACCTGTATGGATTTGTTCACGCTGTTTTCTTGGCAGCACCAAGGAACAGATTGGTCACTGCATACTTCCATGATGCACTTCAAATGAACAAACAAAAGCTTTTTAGTCTAATCTACAGCCCTGGGATTTTCTGGTAGTCTCTCAACCAAGTATTAACTAGGTCTGATCATTCCTTGCTTTCTTGGGATCAGCCACAGTTAGCCAGATCCTATCACTTACTGTATCAAACTTTCTTTTACTGATATGCACTATATATATTTTTCCTCTTACAGTTTACTCTGTATTTTTGTATTATATGTATTTTTCCTCTTCCTTTTACTCTGTGTAAATGTGTGGTTTTTTTAATAAATTCTAACTATGTATTTATTTATTGTTTTAATCTGTTGTAAGCCGCTCAGAGTCCCCCATTGGGAGGAGATGGGCGGGGATAGTTTGATAGATAGATAGATAGATAGATAGATAGATAGATAGATAGATAGATAGATAGATAGGTAGATAGACAGACAGACAGACAGACAGACAGACAGATTTTTAAATAACCCTTTGAACTCATATTGCAAGAATACAATCTTTCTTTGATCTATCAGAAATGATAACTGATGTGTAGTTATTTATATAGTTCACTTACTAAAGACATTTTCCTTCAATTTCCTAAAGTAAGCATTAATAAATTTTTGCTATTTCCTTGTAAAGGTCTACTCCTAGAAGATTGTAAATGAGTGATGAAACACCTTCCCTTTTCTGTTAGCTTTTCTGCTTAAAGCATTTAAATGCAAAATCCTTAAATGGAACTTTTAACTGAACATTCACCTCATATTTTGGCCATATAATGCAAAATGACATGCTAAAACTAAAAAATCTTAGTCTATCCCCTTATTTGGAAGCAGGTTCATGAGAAAGACCAGACCAATTTCTTTCATTAAATAACATTCATATGTTACATTAACTTTCACCCTAAAGATTAACCACATTTTAACATATTTCTAATGAAAATTGAAACTTTGTATATCGGCATTCTTTAAACTTACTTGCTAATTTAGGAACTTTAATCTGGTCACTGCTAATGCCATCTCCACCATCAGTCACTGCTTTCACTTCTATAATATATTCATCATTTAAAGGAAGCAAAAGTTCAGCAGATGTTCTATTTGTGTTCAGGACACTGAGATGGTTCTGATTGCTAGTCCAATATAAAACCTGCGGCATAAAAAGAAAAGTGATGACTTCAGTGATACTACTTAAACACCATTTAATCTCATTTCTAGGTGGAAGAAAAAAAAAAGATTCCTGAAAAAGGGTGAAAAGGAGGCTGGAAATTGTCATGGTCAATCAATCACTTTGATCACAATTTTAATTTACTACAGCTTAAAACGTTTGTTTAATTTACTATAGTAAATTAAATAAACATTTATTACAACAACAAATTGATAAACATTATGTTTGGCTTTTCAGTTAGGGAATCTGTACCAAGCACTCAAATAAGTAAGTAAGAAAGAAAGAAAGAAAGAAAGAAAGAATAGGAATAGGATACCCTGGATATTAAAGCAGACCAAAAGAATGTGAAGATTTGTGAACTGTAGGTAAAAGAAAGCCTGCATATAGTAGGAAATTATTCTGCATAAAACTTAACTGTGTCTTTCATGCTGCATTTATATGATGATACAATTCATAACCATGTATTTAATTCCACTGTAATAAACATTTATCAGGATAGAATTAACATATAAATGGCAATAGTCCAAGGAATTTATTAAACTGATCATGAAATGTGGACTAAGGAATACAGATTTTGTTTTGAGCAACTTTGGTGAGGTAACAATCTTAACTAAAAATAGGTTCTGATTATATTCTGCATATTCTAAAATATTATGTTTAATATTATTGATGGTTAGAGTTATGTATACAGTAACTTTTTACAGATTGCTTACTTCATGCCTAATTTTCTCCCAATAGTAAATCAGAAGTTGAGAAATTGGGAACAAGAAAGGAGAAAGGCATGATATAAAACTGGTCCCATCCACATATCCTAGGAGTTCAGTTCCCAGAATTCATGGAATATGCTACTTAAGGAATCCTTAACACTTCTGCTTCCTATATTCTTATTATTTGCTTTAAAGTTTATTGAATAGTCTTGGATAAGCCACTGACTCTCAGTTGGGCTATAGTTACAGGGTTGTATGCTGTATAGAGCTCACTGAAGAAAGGACCAAAGAAAAAGACTGAAAAACTAAATGGGTGAGAACTGTAAGAAAACAATGCATATAGTAAAATCTCAATTGTCTGGACCTCCATTCAATTAATTTCAGATGCACTGACAAAGTTTTCCTTACAACTTCACTCCCAAACAATGGACAAAATCTGTTCTTTCCAAAGCAGTTCAGACAACTGATATAATTGGATAATTATATACTTTTCATTTTACAACATTTGCATAATCATATTAAACAACTGAATCACATTGGTGCAAACATATAAAACAGCAATTACATAATTATGCCTATTAACCAGGTATTAAATTTGGATTTAACAGACATTCAGATTTAACAGCATCCTTTCCCCTAAATAATACATTCAACTTAGGTTTTGCAGTACATACTTTCATGATACGATGCAGCACAAAATACCAAAATCACATGCAGTGTCATCCTAGCCATATTTCTTCAGAAATCTTATGCTTTCAAATCTTATACACTACTAGCAATTTTTTATCTTTATGAAGCAAAAATAATAGTATCCACATGAAACAGGAAGATATCCGCAGTTTCAGGATAATTCCTACTAGAATTAAGGAAGAACAGAAAAACTTTTGGAAATGAGCTTCTCCCACAACCTAGTCCAGCAAGGACTGAATATATTCAGTGCACACTGCATTTATCAATGCAGGTTGATAAATGGAAGTTTGGAGGTATGAAGTAAGCTAGGAGGATGTAAGGATGACTTGCAGAAACACTGAAGAAGAAAAGTACTTATTGCAGTACAGAGTAAAAAAATGCTATCTGTAGGACTCACTCCCACATCTGCATGGGATTGCAGTTCAGTACTAGCCATATGTTGAAATAAATATGATTATTCACAGCACAAAGGTTGCATTATGGATAGCCTACCCAATGCATGGAGTTTCACCTAAATGGCTGAGTTTTTGAAATAAATGCATATGTGGAATACTAAAGGATTAATTTAAAGTAAATTTTTGTTTACCATATGATATCGTGCTGTATTGCATTGTTTGCTGTATTGCTCTATGTTTTGAAATTAGTTCTAAATAAATTGTTCTAGTACTTTCTATAGCCAGCGCATTCTATTTTTATGCTGGAAATCACTAGGATACATCTATGTTGAAAAGTGATATACAAATTAAACAGTACACAGTAATCACAGTAATTATACAGCATAAAATACATAAAATATATAATTATATGCTATCAATATGAATATGAATCAATATGGCATCTATCCCAGAATACTGCAGGTTAAGATGACATATCATTGTTTCTTGCTACACTTTTTTGGGAGGGGGGGGTTCGAGTCAGTGTTGACTCTGAGAGACTGCCTAGACCACTCCTAGATTTTAAAATGGATAGTAACGTAGCTGTGTTGAGAAACAGAACTCCGATATTTTTCCAAAACTGGCTATTTCTGATGAGCAGTTTTAGCTGTACCAGCATTGCCTTGCTTTTACTTACCTTATAGCCAACTACTTCTGACTCATTGTCCATGGCATGTACCTGTTCCCAGTTCAGCACTACCCTGGAGTCTGTAATGTTCCACTCTAAGTTCCCTGGAGGCTGGCTGGGTGCTTAAAAACATAACAAGTACATGATTTTAATTTACGTGGCATTAGAAATTTATTATGTCAGAGCAAATAATGCAGGTAACCGTCACCACATCATTTGTAGACTGTCTTCGTGTTTGAAAATATTTAGACGGATGCAATTTTTTTTTAAGTCACTGAATTCCACTGAATATTCCACTGAGTGAAATTCACACACAAGCCCACAAGTGATTTTATGCCAGTTAGAATGCTATTTAGAATGAAATACAGTGGTACCTCTAGTTACGAACGCCCCTCCTTACGAATTTTTCAAGATACGAC